GCCAATTATAAATTATTGAATTTTAAAGTTTAGGAACCCTTACGTAAAGATTTAATAATTGCACACTATAGAGTTAAAAAATAATAATATTTTTTCCAGTTATTACTTATTATATTATATTAGTAATGATATTACTGTACCGACAAAATAAGTCAAAAAATATAATTTTATCATAACACTTATTAGGTAGGTATAATAGATATAAGTATTAAAAAAATGATATTTATATTTGCATTGTCTTATAATGTCAATATGTCAGCGCTTGATTAATAGGCCGAAACTTGAAATTGAAATCACATTGTAAAAAACTGAAACATAGTTGAAATAAAATTAAATATATATAATATAAGTATACAATATTTTAAATATTTTATTCGAACCATAATATAAAACTAACCTAACCTTAAATGTAAATATCATTTTTTTAATACTTATATCTATTATACCTACCTAATAAGTATTATGATAAAATTATATTTTTTGACTTATTTTGTCGGTACACTAATATCATTACTAATATATAATAAGTAATAACTGGAAAAAATATTATTATTTTTTAACTCTATAGTGTGCAATTATTAAATCTTTACGTAGGGGTTCCTAAACTTTAAAATTCAATAATTTATAATTGGCGGAAAAAGGAATGACGTTTTTTCTGATTTGGCGGAAAAAGGTATTGGCGGAAAACGGAAAGGTAATTTTTGGCGGAAACCGGTGACACCCCAAAGTTATACCAAGTTTGTCATATTCCATCTATGATGGATTAATATAATCAATTAATACAAAAGCCTAACCTAACCGTACTAAAATCCGACGAATAAAAAAAAACCAAATTTAACCATTTTTAAATTAGCCTGTTTTCTTCCCAGACAGTCTAATATACAAACATGCGTTTATATATATATTGAAAAAAAATAATAATGCAAATCAACAAACATGTCCGATTAACCAATACCATACAATATATTTTAATACACTGTTGCGCCACTGTTGTAATTTTTACATCCAGATTTCCTATTTTTCCAGTAGAATTTCCTAAAATTTACTTTCATAAAAACCTTCTCCTGGCAATTAAAAACATCTTAAAAAAGGTGGGTAAGTGGATGTCGCTCTGCTGTACAGTAGGTTACAAGTGGGTCACTGTATAATGGATGCTTTTAAATTTGAATTCAATGATACAATATCATTGTATAAGTAAAATGATTCTGAGCGAAGACGGTATGTCAGTCTAGGTTTAAGACAAATAATATACATATATCTATGGTATTAAAAAAAAAATGACCTAAAATAAATTTAAAATTAATTATTATCACATTATCACAATATCCATTAGGTACTTATAACACGTTATACATCAACATCAATAACAAACCCTGATACTATCATAGATATATAATTGTACACTTTAGAAGTTTCAAGTAGGTACCCACGAATAATATTATATAATCACAACAAAATAACTAGGTTTTTTAATATGTAATTTCGTCCAAATTTGAACATAAAATGACTATAAAAATAAACTGTGATTGTATATTTTTTAGATTTTTCGGTAACAGAATTAACTACTTACGTGGAATCTTGTTTTAAATTTTCAATCCTTTGCTATAAAAACTGAACATTTTATAATTAATTAATTACGATGATCAATAATTTTCGAGATTTTGAAAAATTCTGTCAAAATTCGATGTTTAAATGCTTATAAAAAAAATTGTGCCTATGTATTTTTAATATTTTTCAACTGCTATTGTAACAATATATCAGGAGCCTTGTATTAAATTTTTACACTTTTTGGTCCAACAGATAAAACTTTATTGATATTCATAGAAAAAAAAAACTAAAAACAAATGGAAAATGAAAAGGTCCCTAAACAGTTCAAAATAAATCAAAATATTTTGAAAATGTTATCATGTATAGAAAATGCAAATATAAATAACCAGTGAAAATTACATGTATCTCCTGTCATTTGTTTTAAAGTTACACCAAAAACCAAATTCAATTTTCTGAAAAATCGATTTTGCGTAAAAATTCCCGTTTTTTCCTTAATTTTTCTTTTGTTTTTCTTGGCGCTTTTGAAAAGTACTGGGAATTTTAAATTTTGACCTCCCCAATGCACCAACGATATTCACTTTCCAATCGAACAAGATACTGAAGTCGAAAATCGAAGCATTATTTCGACTACTTATCGTGTACACAGACACAAAAAAAAAAAAAACACACATCATTGTAAAATCAATACATTCATCGTTTCACTCTGAATCTAAAAGAGGTGGGCAAGTGGGTGTCGCTCTGCTGTACAGTAGGTTACAAGTGGGTCACTGTAAATGGATGATATTAAATTTGAATTCAACGATATAATATCATTATATAAGAAAAACGATTCTGAGCGGAGACGGTATGTCAGTCTAGGTATAAGACATATTATATATATATATCTATGGTACTAAACCAAAATTTGACCTATAATAGGTATCTATAATAAATTCCAAATTAATCATATCACAATATCCATTAGGTACTTATAACGTTATATAGTTATACTTATTCTAGGTTTTTTAATATGTAATTTCGTCCAAATTAGAATTTAAAATGTCTGTAAAAAATAACTGTGTTCATATATTTTTTTAGATTTTTTGGTTACTGTATGAACTATTTATGAGAACCTTTGTTTTAAATTTGCAATCCTTAGCTATAAAAACTGATCATTTTATAATTTATTAATTACAATGGTTGATAATTTTCAAGATTTTGATAAATTTTGTCAAAATTCGATCTTTAAATGTTTATAAAAAAAAACTGTGCCTATGTATTTTTAATATTTTTCAACTGATATTGTAACAATATATCAGGAGCCTTGTATTACATTTTTACACTTTGTGGCTTAACAAATAAAACTTTATTGATATTCATAGAAAAAAAAACTAAAAAAATTGAAAGCTGTAAATGTCCGTAAACAGCTCAAAGAGTCAAAATATTTTCAAAATTGTATGGTGTATAGGAAATGCTAATATAAACATTCAATAAAATGTTCATGTATCTACAGTTATTCGTTTTTGAATTGCAACAAAATAAGGAAATCGCTACATGAGTAATCGAGTGAATATCCAATGTTGTAAAAATTTTAATTTCAAACGCTCATAAAAATTTAATTTGACTGTCCGGTAAAGATTTTTTTATTGATAAAGGTTGACAAACTTATGAGTAATCTTGTATTACATTTTCACATCTTAGATTTAAAAAAAAAAATTTTTAAGAATTCTTAACTCAAAATAATTTGCTAATTTTCGTGATTTTTCTATATTTTGTCAATTTTTGAACTTTAAATGCTTATACAAAAAAATTGTGAGTAAGGATTTTTAATATTTTTCATCTACCTTTGAAACAATATACTAGGAGCCTTCTATTAAATTTTCAAGCTTTCGCAACCAACAAATAAAATTTATTGATATTTTTAGAAAAAAAACTAAAAAAAAATGGAAAATGAAAATGTCCCTAAACAGTTCAAAATAAATCAAAATATTTTGAAAATGTTATCGTGTATATAAAATGCAAATATAAACAACCAGTGAAAATTTCATGTATATACGTTCATTTCTTTTAGAGTTACACCAAAAACCAAAATCGATTTTTTGGAAAACCGATTTTGCTTAAAAATTCCCGTTTTTCCTTAATTTTTATGTTGTTTTTCACGGCGCTTGTGAAAACTACTGAGAACTTTTACTTTTGACCCCCCCAAAGTACTAACTAGATTCACTATCCTATCAGAAAAGCTACTGTTGAAGAAAATCCAAGCACTTTTACTGTCCTAAAACGTGATGACAGACACAAAAAAAAATAAAATAAAAAAAAAACACACATCATTGTAAAATTAATACATTCATCGTTTCACTCAGAATCTAAAATTTGAGGCAAATCGGACCAGCCGTTCTCAATTTATAATTTAACAACATTTTCACGCTCCTTTTTTATATATATAGATTATGTCACATTTGGGATATTAGAAAAGATAACAAAAAACTGTTCTTTAATCCAGTTCATAGTAAAATACAACAGAATCAACTTTTTTACTATTATTAATCCTATAATGTTTTATTTACAAACAAATTTGGTAAAAGTTTTAAAGTTACATAATATTAAATTGAAACAACTACTTATAAAGAAAATATTGATTATTATTTTTGGTAAATAGTGATATTTTTATTTTTAATCACAAATATAATTATCTTAATTCAAGTATTTCAAAAGGAACGCACATTATGGACTAAATATAACAACATTTAGTAATAATTTAGTACATACTTCTAAATATGAAATATCTATTTCATTTTTGACAAAAACCAAATTACCAAGTTAAAATAAAAACTACTACAAATTAAACAAACTATTAAATGTTAAGAGGACGTGATACCCGGATGTGTTGTCTCCGTCTTACAAGTACATAGAAAATTTTACGCTCAGCAAAACATGTGTAGCTCTGTTAATTTAAATATTAGAGTAAATTTAAATCTTATAAAATCTAAAGGGAAGAATATTATCTAGACAACCTCATAGGCTTTTTATTATATTTTAATTTTTAAGCGAGCCATGAGTATTATAAAATTGTAAATTGTTTATTGATCTTAAACTAGGTACTCATAACTAGCTTAAAAATTAAAATATTAAAAAAAGACCAAGAGGTTGTCTAGATAATAATCTTACCTTTATATTTTATAAGAGGTTAATTTACTCTAATTTTTAAATTAACAGAGCTACACGTTTTGCTGAGCGTAAAATTTGCTATGTTATGCACTTGTAAGACGGAGACAACACATGCGGGTATCACATCCTCTTAACTAGTAATAATTAACTATTTATATTGAAGTAAAAATATAAATTAGTTTGAATGCATAAAAAGTAAAAAATTTGTTAATAAGAGCTATTATCGGGTTGGCTGTAGTTTAGGTTTAGGCATTTTATTTAGTAAGCCTTGAATATCTTTTTTCTCATCATAAGATTTCCATAACTCAAATAGGTTGATTATATATCTGGATATTTCTTGTATTTTGTCTATGTCCACATTTAGCTCTGCAAACCATGATTTGAGATCCTTTTGCATAATAACACATGCAATTTGTAAACATCCTACAATAATAAATTAAGTAAAACACATTATTTAAGTAATATATTAATTTTTAATAGTTTTTGATTTTCTTAAGGAAGGATATTATACATATTTTTATCAGGTGTATTGTATTATAAAAGTATAATTACATCGGGGCTTAGGAAACACTTATTATATTGATAAATTTATCATAATATTTTATGTGATACAAATACTTAGTGTTCAATAAAAATAACTCTTAATTAGATCTTCTTCAAACTTATACAAAAAGTTTAAAATAATAATACATTTTTAGTTGATATTATTTATTAGATTCTGAGCTATATTATATTATTATATATTTTATTTCACACATTTTTTTTGTAAATAAACAATTAAATATAAATATAACTGAATTCCTAATATTTGTATTTTAGTCCAAAATGACTAACTAAAAACATTTTTTTCAACTTTTAATTGACTGTAAACTAGATCATTGAAAGTTAAAAATATTTTTTTATAAAATAAAAGTATAATTTTTAATGTGACAAATATTATTGAATATCAGTGTTCAAACCGGCAGAATTTTTGTGTAATTGCATAAAATAAAACTTGAAAAAAAATGGATTAAGGGAATATTTAAAGTATTTGAGATAGATTTTATTGTATTATGAAAATAATAACAAAATCTTACCTATAGCTATTTGATATGTGGATATAACATGACAAATCAGTTCTAAGACTATCATTCACTACTCTCCATGCTAATGCCAATAATTGATCTTCATGTTGTCCAATATCTTGAACCAATTGAAGCAATGGACGGTAAGGTTGAAATACAATCAAACAACAGTCCAAATTTTCCAATAAATAAAATTCACATTCTAATATATGATTAGTACGGTAAGGAAATTCTTGGGTATATGCATAATTCAATTTATTTTTCACTACAAAAAAAAATAAAAATAAAACCAAAAACTGTAAAATAAAATAATTATTACAACATACAAACAGTCTGGCAAGTAGTTATTAAACGGCTGTTCGATATTACACCAAATTCTTCAACTTTTGATGCTAAGAAAACACATGTTGGAGACAATAACAAAGGATCGATACATTTGAGAGAATTTCTAGCATAAAATCTTTTAAAATAAACTGTAGCCGTAGCTATCACTTGCTGTTTAAGTTTCAGTTGTTCACCTAAAATTTGGATAACTAAACAAACAATTCAACAAGTTTAAGTTTAAATTAGGCATGTCTCATCATTAATATTTTTCTATTAGGTAGTTTATAACTAAAATAATTTATGATTAATCTTATTGTAATAATAAGAAGCTTATTGTATAAAAGAACAACAATTGGTTTGACTATCTGTAATTTATGCTGTAACTTACAATTTGAAAAGAATATTCCTATTTTTTGATATTCCTCTTCACTTAAGATTTGTAAATCTAACTGACGCTCTCTGACTAGATCTTGTTTATCCAATATCCATTGTTGACTGTAACATAATAAACATTTAAAAATTGAATGCGCCCGTATAGAAACTGTCAATGGAACCATTCATCATGCGGGGATGGAAGAGATTGGAAACATTTAGTAAATACAAATACAATACCATCAATACTGTAATACACATTGGCCATTTCAACCTAATTGTATTACTTAATTTTAAATAATTCCAAAAAACAAACTGTCACGCACTTATTGTTCATTTTTAAAATTGAAAAACTCAACAAATACAGCTCAATTCCAGACTAAACAGAATAATTACTTACTAATGTGAACTTTGCCAAAAATTCCCAGCCATTTTCAATCAAATTTGTGGTCACTCACTGATTAGTTTTCAGTTTCCACTTTTCACTTCCGTTTTTCACTCAACTTACAACGAGCAACGATGATAACAGCAATGGCTAGTGGAACGATGTCTTGTTTTCTTTTTTTTTGATAACAACGGTTAACGATTACCGTAACTTCTAAAAACTAAAAGGACACTGTCATGATGACAATTTATTGACGACCGGTGGTGGTTGGATTCATAGACAAAAAAAAATTGGTTGGATTTACTACTGACGACGATAGCCGTGCATAATTAATAATTATTACGAATAACCGTCACTGATCAGAGATTCGTAGTGTATGGTACCTAATTGGTAAATGTTAGTTGTCTACATGTCGTATAAATGTATGTACAGCACTACAGCGTTTTGTATTACATTTTAATCTGACGTCTGATTAATGATTATCCAAAATCAGTGATGGCGTATGGAAATATTCCGAAATCGAAAGAGAAAAGAATTAATTGTTCCACAGAAAACTGTTAGTGGTCGTGGCGCGGAGCGGGAAACGCGACGTACTGTCGACAAACGATTACGTCGAAACATTATGTTCATAAATTCATCGGTATACCTAAAGGCTAATACAATATAAATATTAAAATATATTATATTTATATATTATGCACATAAACATTAACGGTATTATAAACACATTACTAAACTTTACCGCGTGTAAGCAAATAAAACAATGTTCGGTAATCAGTGGTAGTGTGGTACACGTGCACTGGTACCTACTTTAATTGAAAATTGAAATTATATAATATCACAATTATTTTAACATGAATAAATCGTTATTTGGGTTTGTTATTCACCATTTGGCATTTATATTAAATATTTAACAGTATAAAAAATTAAAACCTATATAATAGTTGTTGAGTGCGCGTGAAAAAGCGTGTGTCATCAAAAACCACATTTTATATGAAAGTAAATAAAAAGTTGAATAAAAAAAAAAAAAACGGGGAATTTGCTTTGATAGTTTGATGTAGGTATACCGTATACAGGGTTGGGTAGTGCAGTATTGTGTTGTAAGCAACTTGTTGTAAACATGTTTAAAACATGAATTGAAACATTTATTTAAAAGTTTTGTTCATTGGTTTAAACACTGCTAATAAAACATATGTTTAAAACAGTGTAAAATCCAAGTGAATATTGTTTTTTTTTTTTGGTTTATTATTATTTATTAATAAATAGTAGGTATTCGGTGTTAGGTATTATAGTATATTTTATAGAAATAAATAATAATACCTAGGTATTACCTACATAAAAACCCGGCCCCCCTGTGCTAAAGCTTCTATACAACCAAGATAATATTACTTTACAACAAGATTATAAAGAATGAATTATAGGTAAAGACGTAAAATTCTTTATAATATAAAACTTTCTGTTATCACTATTGCACAAATATATTGAAATACGGCATAACAATGCAGTCTAGTTCCCAAGTGATTTTGGACATTTTTTTCGGAATCCTATGTATTTCACTAAGTTAACAACAATGATACAATCAGAATTTATGGGCCGGACTTAGTTTCAAACTTTACTCTTTAGTTATGAGTTTTTATTTAGTTTTGAATTTTGAAAATTTGAGTATTTTACTCTGATTATTCGACAAATCAAAAGTAAATTTAATAACTCGATTAAATAGTAGGTACCTATGTAATTATATTTTATTTTAATGTATCAATGTATGTACCTAAGATTTGTAACTTGAATGAGTTTATTCATATTATATTTATACATATACCTATACATATTGTATTATACAGATCACAATGGTTGTGCTGAGATGTGCTTATATGATATAGGTATCTAAACCAACTTTTAAGTGGGGAGGGGGTAATGTTTCCCAAACATGACCTAATTACTCCACTGCTGCAATGGATGTGTTAAAATATTTAAATTTATTATTCAATTTATTTCAATGATAATAATTGATAATTGATGAATCATTGCATATTATGCAAAACGTTTCTGAGCGGCGACGGTCTGTCAATCCATACATACATTTACGTACTATACTACCTACCTCTATAAAGTATAGGTTACCTATTTCACATATTGTTAAATATATAATAGTATACTGTATACCTATAACCTATAATCTTATACTATATAGACATATAGTATATAACCTATACTATACCTATATACTTATATACACATTTTTTTTTTTATAATTGGTAAGGGCTTTAACGAAATACGTTTTTAGCCTGCATTAACTGTGTTATATAGATGTACATTGAAACTTAATCCTAGTACCTATTGACATGTTAGGTATATATAATTTATGACTAAGGTTTGTATTGCGGAAAAATGTACTGTTTGCGACGGTGTTCTCTTCATTGATGGCTTGGTGAAGTGTGATACCTATGGTTATTATGGCTTATGAGGATCTCGCGGGCTTCGGCAGTGGATTACTATATGTCCTAACTATTGTTAAAGTTGCATTACAAGTGTCGCATACTAGTGCTGGATATCGCATTTTATTTTTATTAATTTTATACAATATAAAATAAAATATCGGACTAATTATCGTAGTACGTTGTGATAGTGTTAATAGTTTCGTGGACCCTGTAGGTACAAATAGGCAATAACATCAAATTTATCTAACTGATTTGAAAATAAAATAAAATACACGAAAAATAAATTACAACAAAATAACTAAAATTGTTATTCTTTGATTAAAATATAATATCTAATTTCGTCCAAATTTTAACTTAAAATGGAAACTGGCTTATTCAAAGAAGATAGTACCTACTTACAATAATTATTGGTAATTGCTTCTAGGTGTTGCTGACGAGCTGTTCGAGCAGATAAGTTCGGCTGGAGAGTTCCGCAAGTTTATTCCTCTACATTGTCTGCGTCATATTTCATATTTGGTCGACGATTAACTATTAGGTAAGTCATAAGTCATATAGATTTTTAGAAGCCAATATTAAAAACTAAGTACCAGAATATAAGGGTTACCAAATTATTTTTTAATTGTATATGGAATTATAATTTATTGCTTTGTATTAAAATACGTTTAAAAATAGGGAATTTAGCACGCTTGCAGTGTGAGATTTCCTAACTTGTTTTTCACATTTTAACTCGTGAAGTAATAAATTATTTTTGATCTCTTGTTTGAACACAGTTATTTTTTACAGACATTTTAAATTCAAATTTGTACGAAATTACTTAATATAAAACCTAGAATAACTATTTTAGTTATTTTGTTGTGATTGTATAATATTATTCGTGGGTACTTCAGTACTTGAAACTTCTAAAGTATAAAACTATATATTATCTTTGATAGTATCAGGGTTTGTTGTTGTTGTATAACGCGTTATAAGTACCTAATGGATATCGTAATATGTTTAATTTGGAATTCATTATAGGTTTTTTTTTTTTTTTTTTTTAATACCTACCATAGATAAATATATAATATAATATGTCTTATACCCAGTGGCGCATTTAGAATTTATGCGCCCCGGGGCGAAATTATTTTATTGCCGCCCCCCCCCCTTCTGGTCGCTACTCATTACAACCTCAGACCTACCATAGGGTTTAATAGTATACAATTTCAATGAAAAAATCATACCAAATACTTAATGACATAAGTCAATTTTTATTTATTTTATTAAACAGTTTAATTACAATTTTTTTCTTGCCTGTTGGTTGGCAAATTCATCAATAATGTCATCTTATTGGAGTTCATCTGTCAACTTGGATTCTATATTGAGCATGGCTAAGGAGTTTAACCGTTCCATTCCAATTGTAGACCGTAGATAATTTTTGACTCATTTAAGAGCAGAAAATGATCTCTCTGCAGAACAATTGCTAGATGGAGTACATAATAGTATCCTAAGAGCTATGTCTACATATGGATAAAGTTCAATTAGGTTATTCACTTTTATAAAAGTCAACAAATCCTGAGCGGTCCCTGGGACTATTTTCTTCATTTTTTTTAAACTTAGTATGTGTGCTCTGAAGTGGACACATTCATTTGGAAAAGTTTTCCTAAGATCATCCTTATATATTTGCTGTAGAACTGCAGCCTTTCCTCTTACCTCCACGGTAGTAATTTCCGTAATACAAAATAAAAACTGGTATTTCTTGTTTAACTCATCATATGCATTTTTTCTTTTTATGAGCTCAGCCCGAATTCTATCCAAGATAGCCAGATAAGTGGTGACTTTAAAATCAATTGCATTGCTATCATCTGTAGCTGGACCATCATCGATAAATGTTTTTCTATTTTTTGTTAGTTTCTTTGTACTAACAAAGTCTTCAATTCCACACTTTTCAATCGCTAACTTTTTGTAGTATTCATATTCACTATATGTTCGTAAGTCATTCACATAACATGTCTGATAAACTTTTAATGACGTATTATATAAACATTATACCTTCAATTTTGAATTCTAAACGCATTGAATTCGTTTAGTAATAAATAATAATTCGTTTCTACGTTATCAGTGACAATCATACATTCATATCACAATATCTGCACATTCAACTCAAAAAGATTTGATACGATAATCCGTTATCACAAAATCGTTATCATAAAATATTATACCTTATACAATTTATACACGTTAAACAATGTTATATTATATTTTGTGACACAAAAAAAAATAAAAAATACACTCGATAAAACTGCCGCCCCTAAAACTCTCAAATATTTGCCGCCGGGGGCATTCGCCCCCTTCGCCCCCCCCTAAATGCGCCACTGCTTATACCTAGAAGGAAATACCGTCTCCGCTCAGAATCGTTTTTCTTATACAATGATATAATATCATTGGATTCAAATGTAATACCATCCATTATACAGTGACCCACTTGGCCACTTATAACCTACTGTACAGCAGAGCGACACCCACTTGCCCACCTTTTTTTTAACATTTTTTTTTTATCCGGCATCTATGGCCATTAGCTGTTTTTGGTTTTGTAGGTTTTTATGTTGGTAGGGGGAGGACACCTGTGTGTTAGT